GCTATCATCCTACCACTTGTCACAAGTGGCACAATTAATGTTTTTTTTCCCTGCAATTAATGTTTTCCCCCAATTAGCTTTTTTTCTTTCTTTTTTGGGTGCTGGTATTACAGGCATGAGCCACCACGCCCAGACAAGCTTTTTTTCTTAATACGCTGTTTTGCTGAATTGAGTTTAAGTTGCTAATAACAGAAACCAACTGTGGAAAGCTTTAGTCAATGACAATGAAAACGACAGCAGCAAACGAAAAGATCAGACGGTTGTTACCTCATGAGATCTACTTTAGATTAGTGTTGTCTTGCTCCCCTCCAAGAATTCACTCAGGAATTTGGTCATGTCCTTTCTAGAACAGTATGAGATGAGAAGGATCTTTACAGCCCCGAGTCTTCCCATCTGAGATCAAGGTGTTGCATTCCAAGTCTCTCTCATTGAGAACAATTTTTACACGTTATACTGGGGTTTAAAAAGCTCAAGCCACTTAAGGTGGGATGGTTTTCCTGATGAAATACCTGGACAAGTGTACACATTTGTGTACGCTAAGGAAAATGCTGGAAATACCCTAAACAGCAAGAATAGGAGATTGGTACCCTCACAGTTACAGACATTCAAAATCTAGAACCGCATCATCATAACTTATCAGTGGCAAGGCCATAATTGGAAGCCAGCCTGTGTGATATCACTATCTGATCTTTACCTCAAGCTGCTGTCTTTTTTTTTTTTTGAAACGGAGTCTTACACTGTCGCCTTGGGCTGGAGTGCAAATGACTTGATATTGGCTCACTGCAACCTCTGCCTCCTGGGTTCATGTGATTTTCCTGCCTCAGTCTCCCGAGTACCTGGGATTACAGGCACACACCACCACACCCAGCTATTTTTTTTTTTTTTTTGTATTTTTAGTAGCAACAGGTTTTCACTATGTTGGCCAGACTGATCTTGAACCCCTGACCTTGGGATCCACCTGCCTTGGCCTCCCAAAGTGCTGGGATTACAGGCATGAGCCACCGCACCTGGCCACTGCTGTCTTCTATATGCATACATGAATATATACACATATATATATATATATATATATATATATATATTTTTTTTTTTTTTTTTTTGAGTCAGCGTTTTGCTCTTGTTGCTTAGGCAGGAGTGCAATGGTGCGATCTTGGCTCACTGAAACCTCCACCTCCCAGCTTTAAGCAACTCTCCTGCCTCAGCCTCCCAAGTAGCTGGGATTATAGGCATGTGCCACCATGCATGGCCAATTTTGTATTTTTAGTAGAGATGGGGTTTCTCTGTTAGTCAGGCTGGTCCTGAACTCCTGACCTCAGATGATCCACCTGCTTCGACCTCCCAAAGTGCTGGGATTACAGGCATGAGCAACCGTGTGCAGCCTTCTACACACATTTCTCATTCACTTCACCTGGGCCAGTTCTCTCTGCAAATAAGGCAACGAATCTGGAGAAAGCAGCTCCTACAGAATAATTTACATCAAGGTGAATGGATACTTTGATTTTCATACTCAAAAAAATTAACACTGTTGCTAAACTCCAATGTGGGAAGGCGTTAAACCACTCTCTGGGTCAGTCCTCCATTTAGCCTTGGGAAGTAGGAGCTGGTTATTTTATTTTTTGCTGAGTGCAGTGGTGCAATCTCAGCTCACTGCAACCTCCGCCTGCCAGGTTCAAGCAATTCTCTTGCCTCAGCCTCCCTAGTAGCAGTGATTACAGGTGTGCACCACCACACCTGGCTAATTTTTGTATTTTTAGTAGAGACGGGGTTTCACCATGTTGGCCAGGCTGGTCTCAAACTCCTGATCTCAGGTGATCTGCCCACCTCAGCCTCCCAAAGTGCTGGAGCTGGTTATTTTATGAAGACTGTGGTGCACTTGTGTGCTCCACCATTAGGTTTCCCCCGCTTCCCTCCTTCCAAACCAAGGTGGGGCGGGCACTATCAGTGCATGTCGTTTCTCTGTCTTCAAGATAAACACACTGCTTGTAATTTTGAAAGGCATGTTACAGAAATAAAACTGAGCTAGTGCTGAATTTTTTTAATGGTCCAAAGACAAATTATTCAACTAAATGAACAAATTGTATAATTGCTATGTGTATCTTTCAAAATCACAACAAAATAATTTATTGAAACTCGACAGTTGGATAAAATGCAGTTTCTCAGAATTTTTCTTTTTGTTTTGAGGTAGGGCTCACTGCAGTCTTGACCTCTCAGGCTCAGGTGATCCTCCCACTTCAGCCTCCCAATTAGCTGGGACTGCAGGCGCATACCACCATGCTGTACTTTTTGCAGACATGGGGTTTCACCACGTTGCCCAGGCTGGTCTTGAACTCCTGGGGCTCAAGGGATCCGCTAGACTCAACCTCCCGAAGTGTTGGAATTACAGGCGTGAGCCACCACACCTGGCCTCAGGATGTTACTGACTTAAAAGTTATCCTGAGCCAGTCGGCAGTTTTGATAAGCTTCTTTCTCCTTCCTATGCAGATTTTGTGCACATAATAAAGTTGGCTCTACTAAAAATGCCTATGCCTGGTTTTGTTTCTTTCAGCCCATCTTACAGAAATGTCCAGACTCCACTGTCTTTGTTGTAAAAGTAGTATATTTTATTTTTAATTTATTGTTTCTTCTTAGCGGTTTATTTTTAAAAGACAGGAAAATGATCAGCTTGCATCCTGAATTGGACCACTTATAAACGATAGTTCTTTGGAGCAGACGATGACATTTTAGCTTATATTTAAGGGGAAACACATTCAAATGCTATTTGGACTCAAATTTCTAAGAAAGAAAAGAAGGAACTGGTAGACTCTGAAGATAGCCTCAATTCCCTTGCTGAGTGACGAGATCGACCAGTACCGATTGCCTGCAGGGGGCCAGAAAAGGCTTCCTGGTGCTCCCCTCTCAGGGCTCCCGCCTGTCTGTCAAGCTGGGCCCTGGCGAGGCGCAGACCGGGGCTCTTGCTGTAAAGTGAGGCGGTGCTCTCCCAGGGAGGACAGTGGGTTCAGCAAACCCACTTCAGCCCTCAGGGGGCACTTGGACTTGTAAATACCCCAGACCTTTGGAAACAACTCTCAACTTTGAAAGGGGAAATTCCCAGTGGGAATTGATGCAAACTGTACTCAGTTACACAAAAAGGTTGAGGGTAAACCATAATCTTGCGGCTATTCTTGCTTTCAGAAAGAATCCCCTGAGTAGAGGAGGAGGCCAGCGAGGCTCAGTTCGCTGCTAGCTCAGAGCCGCTCAGGTGCGAGGGCGTCATTACCGGGAATCGCTGTTCTCAGGCGCCCAACCCTCCCGGGCGCGCAGACGCCTAGGTCCTGGGAGGGTGCTGGGCCGGCACCAGGCCCTTCCGATCCTGCTGGAGTCACTGGAGCACCAGGCGACCAGGACAGCGGGTCAGGCCAGTGCGGTGTGACTTTGGGGCTGGAGCGCCTTCGCAGTTTACACCTGTACGCAGCCCACACCTCCCACCGCTGTTTTGGATGCGGTGCTCTCCTGCCCCTCAGCTTGCCCAGCGGCACGTGGGCCTCAAGCCTTGTCCCTAGTGGCCGCGCCCGCCTAGCTGTGTTCACCTTGGGGCCGCGAAGGCCTACCACTGGCTGGCACCGGGTGGACGCGCTGTCAAGATCGGGGAAAGGAAGGCAGGAAGGAGGCTAGAGGGACACAGAGCTCGTGGCCTCCGCATCCTCTGACCTGCGACGGGCGCGCGCTCACCACCGAACCTTTGCGCACAGACTTTCCCCAAAGATTGGCTCACGACACATCCTACCCCGAAGTCAAGGGCTCCCGGTGGCAAATCCCCGCACGCTCTCCTCCTCTCCGCCAGTCCGCGGCGCCTGGACAGATGCGGAGAGCACAAGGCCGGGATGGAGGGGCGCTGGGCCTGAGCTGCGGCTGTCGCCCGCGGCCCTACTCTTTTAGGCAGCCAGCCGCCGGGTCGACGCCCAGTCGCAAACTCAGGGGGTGAATCCGCAGATCCCAGCACGAGACACAGGCCGGGCGTGGACGTGGGGAGCTCCTCGCCGCTGGGGCTTCAGCGGTTCGTTTCCAGCCAGAGGCTCTCCCTGAGGTTCCGGGACACCCTAATCCCAAGCCCAGGGTCCCATCAACCCGCAAGCCACAGCGGGCCCGGGTTCCGCTTGTCCGGGGACTCTGAAAATCGTCCTCTCCTCCGGGCTGGGACTTCCCCACGGCAGCGGACAGCCCCGCAGCGCTCCCTGGCCCGGGTCCCAGGTGAAAGGATCCACTCCCGCGTCCGCCTCCTCCGCCCGCCGAGCGATCGCTGCGGGGACTCCCCGGCCTCAAATCGGCGGCGGCCGGGTGGAGTCCGCTCCAGAGCCTTTGATCCCCCCGAGGTGAGAAAACCCGCTGGGCGCCTCCGTAGCGGCGGGAGAAACTGGCCCCATCCCGGCCTGACGCCCTCGGCGGGGGTCGGCTCCAGGGGTCCCAGGTTCCCGAAGCTGGAGGCCGGCTCCGCCCCGGCGCTCCCCCGCCGCCACATCCGCCCCCATCCAGCGGGTTGGCGAAGTGGGGGTGCTGGGCCGCTTGCCACCCGCGACTCGGGTTCGGCTTCTTTAGAGATTTTGCTTCTGCTTCTCCTGCGCGAGCTGTCCCCAGCTCTGGGGTAACGCTGCCAGGTGCCCCATGCTGGCGCTCGGGAGAGCGGACTTCGCCTGCCTGGCTCTCAACTCTGGCCAGGAACAGGCCCCCCAGGAGAAAGCCCCGGGGGAGGGCGTGTCGGAGGCCCCGGGAGAGGGCGTGTCGCCGCGCCCCGCCCCTCCCCGCGCTGCCTCGGAAAGCCCCCGCGGTCCCGCCCACCCCAGGGACTCGCTCAGCCTCCGCTGACTTTTTTCGCTGAGCGCAGCCGCCTGGCGCCGGTTTCCGCCGGGCTGGAGCGCGCGGGCCACGGCTTCTCTGGGGACGCAACAGCGAGAAGTGGGGACCTCGGCGCGCGCCCCGCGCCCGGCTCTCCCGGCCCGCGCCCCGGCCCCCGGCCCGCGCCCCGGCAGCCGGCATGGTGCTGCTGGCCGGGACCGGGCCGGAGGGCGGCGGGGCGCGCTGCATGACCCCGCCACCGCCGTCCCCACCCCGGGGCGCGCAGATCGAGGAGGACCCCACTGACTACGAAGAGTTCGAGGACTTCTCGAGTCTGCCCGACACTCGCAGCATCGCCTCGGACGACTCCTTCTACCCTTTCGAGGACGAGGAGGAGCAAGGCGTCGAGAACGCGGAGAGCCTCCCGGAGGGCGTCCCGGAGGCGGCGAGCCTCCTGCGCGCCGCCTGCGCCAACGACGTGGGGCTGCTGCGGGCACTGGTGCGGCGCGGGGTGAGCGTCGAGGAGGCGCAAGAGACAGACCGCAACGGCCGGGTAAGCGGACGGCCCCGCAGGATCTGAGTCCCCCCACTGCCCCTGCTCCCCTCCTCCCCACCACATCCCCACATCCTCGCAGGTCCTGGCTCTGGACTGGTCCCTCGGTCACTCTGCCGCGCCCCGGAGCGCCTTTTCCTGGATCTTTGGGAGCGCGGTGCACAGGGAGCCCTGGGTAGCCTCTCCGTCCCAGGCTGGGGGTCCTCCTGGTCCCAGGCTGGAGGACGCGGTGCGGGGAGGGGGCAGTTTAAAATGCCCGATGTGGCAGCGCGGCAGGAAACGCTGCCAGTCCGGCATCCTCACCGCGTCCCCTCCTCGTTTACTGGCCCCCAGGGACCTCCTGACTCAGAATTCGCGCTGGCGGCTCCCGCTGCAATTCAGGATTGGCTTCTTGTGGGGTCTCTTCAACCCTGTCCCCTCCTGGCTGTTACCTTTCCCCGGGCCCCTGGCAAGGGAGCATTCCTCCTGGCCTGCAGGCGACAACCCCTCCTGCCAGCTCCCCATTTGTCCTCTGGGCCCCCCGCGCCGCCCTTGCCCTAACACGCCAGGGCACAGATGGGCTCCTCCAGCCGCGATGATTTGGAAGCAAGTTTCCTCCCTCTCCGCGACTGCTTGGTCCCCTGCCCACCTGCACTGAGCCTTGCGGCCCGCGCGCTGCGACCAGCCAACCCGATCTCTGGCTCTTCTGTCTGCACGGTCACCTCCGCGAGCCAGTGCCAGCCAGGGCTCCCCAGAGGCAGGGCCTGGGAGAGCAGCAGAGCCGCAGGCATCTAGCCGGGTAGGACAGGCCTCGTGGAGGGAGGCACAGGTTAACCATCGGTTATGACAAGACTCAGAGAAAGCAAGAGACGTTTAGAAAAGGAAAGAAAAAGTTGGCCTAAGAAGGCTTGAGAAGGACTGGCTGGTGGAACACACCCCACCAAGCAAAGCGCTTCGAGTGGAAACTGCAGAGTGTCCACGGGGGCCAAGTTCCCACTAGTCTGTGCTCAGTGGGCAAATGGCAGCGTTCTCACGTGCTTTTTGTACTCTCCAAGGTCCGTGGTATCTGCAGAGGCAGGTTAGCACAAAAGCAAATGCTTTGCTCAGGAGCCTGCAGCTGACAGAGACATATGCTTTGACTTGGGGACCGGGTGACCTTGTGACTTTGGCTTATCCTGTAGTGGGTGGGGCAGGTGGTTTGCCCCGACTATGGTCTGGGCTGCACTTAGATGAATGGGAAGCCCTCGAATGTCACTTTCCTCTTGTACTACCTTGCCCCTGTGATTCAGTTACCTCCCACCGGGTCCCTCTCAGAACACGTGGGAATTCAAGATGAGATTTGGGTGGAGACACAGCCAAGCCATATCACATAGCATGTGAACTTGGAGGAAGGGTCTGTGCTTGTCACACATTAGGCAGTGAGACCTGAGGTGGGGTCCCCATGGGTAGCATCACCTGGAGCCCTTCTTCTTGCAGTACCCCCTTCCCCAGCCCAGGTGACAGATGCTCTGGCTGGCATGTGATTAGGGCTTGGAGCCCCTCCCGAGGTCCTAGGGGCTGTTTCTTGAGTCCTACATTCGGTTGAACTGTGAGTTTTCAGGCCCAGATGTGTGTATCAGAAACCTTGCTTTCTGAAAGCTGGTACTGGGGCCAGCTTTAAAGGAACCCCCACCAAGTTCAAGTTCATAAAGGGATAGGTGGGGTAGGTCTCTCCCCCTGTCCTGGGTAGCCTGGTGTTCTCCAGTGGACTGGAATGGGCACAGGAAGGGCCTGGCTTTGCCCAATCCCCACTCTAGGGCACCCCTGGGCTCAGCTTTGTATGTTTCCTTTAGGGGCAAAACATAAATGTTTGAAAACAGCAGAGAGGCAGAGGGAGGCCGTGGCACGGGAGGCTAGCTCCAGCCTCTCAGCAGCTTTCTGCCTCGGGTGCGTGGTCTGGAACATAGGAATAACAGCAGCTGCTGCCTCCTAGGATGTGAGCGTAAACTGGCTTAGTGCACACACGGCTCTGAGAAGGCCTGGCCCAGGCCTGCCTGTACCGTCTTGTCTCGTTTCTCATTCACCTGCCTTCTCTTGGCTTAGAAGAGAGCACCTTCCACTTTTAGCTTTGTTTTCTTTTGTCTTCTGTCAGGCAAGGCTTTTTCTCTCTCTGCTTTCCTTCCCCCTTGATTACAGCATAAATGAAGACTTTTTTGTTTCTCAGTGTTGGATGAAATAATGATGTAGCCCGGGCATAGCCTGCTAACTTCAAGACCCCTGGATTCTTTCATCTTAGGATCAGACTGAGCACGGCCTGTGTTCTATTCTCCGGGGGGCCAGAGCGGGGAGCGAGGCAGGAGCCTCCATTCTTTTCACCAGCTTCTCAAGGCTGTTGATCAAACAGCCTCTATCTTCCTGAAAAACAGCTGAAAGGATCAAGTGTGGCAAAGCCCAAATGCCCTGCTCTGTGGTAAATGGAGGGACTCATTGCCAAAGTGTTTACTGCAGACCTACTGTGCTCCTGCTAGGTACTTTAGCAGACTCAAAGCTGAATCCAGCAGTCCCTGCTTTTGAGAATCCTAGCATTTTTTTTTTTTCTTTCTTTCTTTCTTTTTTTTTTTGAGATTGAGTCTTTCTGTTGACCAGGCTGGAGTGCAATGGCACGATCTTGGCTCACTGCAACTTCCGTTTCCTGGATTCAGGTGATTCTCCTGCTTCAGCTGAGACTATAGGCGTGTGCCACGATGCCTGGAGGATTTTTTGTGTATTTTTAGTAGAGTCGGAGTTTCACCATGTTAGCCAGGATGGTCTCAATCTCCTGACCTCATGATTCACACACCTCGGCCTCCCAAAGTCCTGTGTTTACAGGCGTGAGACCTAGGAAATTGGGAAGCAGACTGCTTTCCACAGGACGGTGTCCAGCCTTCTCGATGGCAGCAGGCTACCCTCTCACGGCCTGCAGGATCCTGTTTTAAGGGCACCTTCCCTGGGAAGCTTCTACTCCCCTTGTCCAAGCCTATAGAACCTGGAGCTGAGCAAGGAGAATGCAGGCATTCAGATATTGAGGGCTGAAATTATAAGTAGGATGGTCATTTAGAGAGCAGGTGACATCTGAGCAGAGAAGGTATCTGGGGTAAACGGCAGTTAGAAGCAACTGCGTGGCGAAGACCACGCAGTGGGGCGGAAACCTCACTGGAGCCTGGTCTCCAACCTTGTCATGATTAGTGACAGTGCAGACCTTAAAGAAGGCCCGAGAGCTTTGGTGCAGTGGAGGGGTGATTGCATTAATGACAGAATGCCAGCTCACGGGTACACCCACAGCCGGCTTTCCAGGAGGAAAATATCTCTAAAGAAGTCTAAACTTTTCTGGGACATGCTTGTTGAGCTGTTCATCTCTGGGCATTTAAGAAGGGAGCTTCGCCTGAGCTAACAGGCTTTCCATTTGGTCTGGGTAACTAAGGGTCAGATGTGTTTTGTTTAAGAAAAGACATTCTCTCCTGCCTCATGAGATTGGTAGAATGTTGGATGTGGCTCAGCACACCATTTTCCTTCTCAAATATTTATTGCTCTAAGAGCATTGTGTGATTTAATGTGCAATATGTAAATATTTGTCAAATAATTGCTCTATAATATTCAGAGGGTGCTCCTGGTGTCTGCTGGATCTGTGGTTGCTTTGTTCTCTCTGACTTGAGGCAGTGAAAGCGACCATAATTCTTTTTCTTAATTCTTCTCTTGCACTCGTTGTCACCTGAAGTTCACCTTTATGGCCTTGGTGGCTCTTGAGAGGACAGTGAAAACAAAGTGTTTCTGCTGTTTTAATTGTCGAAGAAGGTGGTTTAAATGTCAGGCAGCTCTTGGACTAAATGAGGCCCAAATATGTGCTGCATTTAAAGTACCGTACTCCTATCTTGATGGGATTCTGCTTCTGCCTGTTTACGTTTGCTGCTTTGGGGTTTTTTTTTTTTTTGAGATTGAGTTTTGCTCTGTCGCCAGGCTGGAATGCAGCTGCGAGAACTCTGCTCACTGCAACCTTCGCCTCCCGGGTTCAAGTGATTCTCCTGCCTCAGCCTCCTGAGTAGCTGGGACTACAGGTACACACCACCACGCCTGGTTATTTTTTGTATTTTTAGTAGAGATGGGGTTTCACCATGTTGTCCAGGATGGTCTCTATCTCCTTGGCCTCCCAAAGTGCTGGGATTACTGGTGTGAGCCACCGAGCCTGGCCGTATATCAGGACTTTATCGTGAAATGTACTTGAGAACATTTTGTGGGTTTTTTTGTTTATTTTTTTAAATGGTTCAGAAGGATTTCTAAACTTCAGAATTACTTTTACCCTAAAATGAGAATTAAGTAATTGAAACAGCCCTCCATCTTTACTGGGTTTTGTGTGCACAAAAAAATGGACTGATTAGCATAGAAAGCGACTTCTCTTCTTCTTGTTAGTTACTATAGAAAGTGAATTCTGGCCTCAGGCCTCTGTGTGCTTGTGGAGGGCCTGAGGTTTGCTTTGCTTCTTAGAAATGTCTGTTAGGCCGGACACGGTGGCTCACGTCTGTAATCTCAGCACTTTGGGAGGCCGAGGCAACGCAGATCACTTGAGTCTAGGTGTTTGAGAACAGCCTGGGCAACACGGTAAAACCCTGTCTCTACAAAAAATACAAAAAATAGCTGGGCATGGTGGTGGATGCCTGTAGTCCCAGCTACTAGGGAGGCTGAGGCAGGAGAATTGCTTAAGCCCGAGAGGTAGATACTGTAGTGAGCTAAGATCATGCCACCAGACTCCAGCTGGGTGACAGAATGAGGCCTGTGTTTGCAAATAAATAAACAAAATTATGTATGTTACTGTTTCAGTTTCATCTCTGAATTCTGAACTGTGGGAAAGGGGTTAGAAGGGTGAACTGAGCAGAATGCTGGACCGGGAGTTGGAGGGACTGGAGTCAGAGGAGGAGTCAGCTGAAGTGGGCTTGGCAGCGGGCAGGCTGGCAGATATCTGCCTCTTCCTCTTCTACTCACCATGGTCGGGGCACTCTGGGTCTAGCAGC